AGAGAAAAAAAAAAAAATACTGTGGTGGGGGGGGGGGGGGGGGGGGGGTTGTGAACACACAACAGAGGAACAAACTACACAAACAGTCCAGTCTCCTACAAAAGGAAAGATGACGGAAGTACAACAGAGCACGAAAGCAACGCATTCTACCTGTATGTAATCAACTCTTCTCATGCGTAGCGAGTCTACCCCTGTAGCGTTCACACGTCCCATTTAACATCGGTGCTGCCCCGCAAACAAGCATTTACTCCGGAGCAAATTTTTTAAAACCACCTCCTTGAGCAGGGTTAAATTTGCTCCGGTTTGAGCTGTTTTCAGGGGCTACACTGGTGTAACTTTGCACGTGTGAACGCTCTACGGGGGCAGCTCCGGTGCTGCACCGGAGCAAAAGTTGCCATGTGAACACCCCTACTGACTGACTAACCTTTTCATTCACCAATAATGAGAACCTGTAACCTGATAACTCGATGGGCTGTCCCTGAAACGGTTCGTTTTGTTGTACCGCCGATGTCATTCAAACAAGCCTGCTTGTATTTTGCCCCATTAGGAAGCTCTCCAAATCCCAACAGCTCATGATAGCATCTGGTTATAGTCGTGGTGCCAAGTCAGCCGCAGGGCCCACCAGCACACAAAAGCTCATAAGCTGCTGTTTTCCGACAGCCACACATTCTTGTTGCGGTGCTTAGTCCCTGATACGGGGCAATGTCAGCCGTCTCCCGGGGCCCCCTTCAATTCTGGCCCCTTGGGAGGCAAGCCTGGCGCTTGCCTCCCCTGTCAACTCGATGCCCCTGAGACGCCAGCCTTTCTCCCACCTTTCACTGGTTCACTTCGATTGTGCGTGCGCACCTTTGGAGTGAAAGTAATTGTTGCTGTCGCATTGACGTCGCACCTCATCTAATCTCATCGGCACTTTGGATGAGTGTCCGACCGGAAAGACTGATTCAATTTCGGCTCAACTTTTACACCTGTGATATGTCCATTTACCGGGAATGCGCTGTGAGATCATGTATGACGCAGGTTTTGCTCACGCACGCTTGTGTCAACGTTCCGGGCACATGTTCATACTGTGGTCTGACTTCCCCGTCTGTCGCTCTTCCGCCTGGGCAGTGCCAGCTGGGAGTGCTGCCTCTGGGCACCGGGAACGACCTGGCCCGAGTTTTGGGCTGGGGGGGCCTCTGCGACGACGACGCTCAGCTGCTGCAGATCTTAGAGAAGCTGGAGAGGGCCACCACCAAAATGCTGGACCGGTAAGCAACACTGATCTCAAAAAAAGCAACTTCCGATCACGAACTGGACTTATTTTTTTATCCTTCCATTGAATGCAATTTTGAGGCCATCCTTCCTCCTATTTTTGACGTGTGTGTGCGTGTGTGTGTGTGCGTGTGTGTGTGTGCGTGTGTGTGTGTGTGCGGTCAGATGGAGCGTGATGACCTACGAGGTTCCGCCCACCTCAAAACGCACACGATCGACGAAGGAAGAGGACACCCTCGACTCTCCTCTGCAGGTGATTGTAACTGATGTTGATCAGCAGCGTCGCCATCATCCCAATTATCATCTAAGGAGCATCTTTTGCTTTTTTTTTTTTTTTTTTTCAGGTTCACATCACTCAATATGCCGATTCTGTGGCGTCCCACCTGGCTAAGATCCTGGATTCAGATCGACACAGCGATGTCATTTCCTCCGCAAAGTATGCGTCCAATGCATCAGCCTGCGCCGACTGTGTCACATGACCACCAACCCCACCATCCCGCCTCTCTCGACAGGTTCCTGTGTGGGACGGTGAATGAGTTTGTGGCGGAGGTGGGCAAGGCCTACGAGAGAGCCACGGAGAACAAGGAGGAAGCGGATGCTATGGCAAAGAAGGTTCATGTTATGCAATGACTTTTATAACAGCCACGCGAGTGTGTGTGTGTGTGTGTGTGTGTGTGTGTGTGTGTGTGTGTGTGTGTGTGTGTGTGTGTGTGTGTTTTGTTCAAAGCTCAGCCGTGATGCCACTCCTGTCACAAGTAGGTAAAAAGTCAATATGCCCTCAAGCAGAGCATATTTGCGGCTACAGCTTTTACTACAGCTTTTACTCTTCTGGAAAGATAATCGAGAAGCTTTAGAAATTTTTGCACATTCATCAAGAGGTCCTCATCCAAGCGTGCCTCGATGGAGCTGGTTTTGTGTATTGGGAGGTAAAAAGAATGTTTCTCCAAACTGTTCCCCCAAATGGCATAGTGGGCGACTGGTTAGAAACGCCGGCCTCACAGCGCAGAGGTTCTGGGTTCGATTGCGGCTCGGTCCTCCCTGTGTGGAGTTTGCATGTTCTCCCCCGTGTGACTGCGTGGGTTTTCTCCGGGTATTCCGGTTTCCTCCCACATTCCAAAAACATGCATGGCAGGCTGATTGAACACTCCAAATTGTCCCTGGGCGTGATTGTGAGCGCGAATAGTTGTTCGTCTCTGTATGCGATTGGCTGGCGATTGGCTGGCAACCTGATCAGGGTGTGCCCCGCCAACTGCCCGAAGACAGCTGGGATAGGCCGCAGCACACCCGCAGCACATGTGAGGGTTAAGCGGATTAGAAAATGGACGTTTACCCAAAATTGGAAGCTGAAAAGATAAAGTGAAGACTTAATTTTCCTCTGTTCTCCCAGTGTGCTTTGTTGAATGAGAAACTGGATTCCCTGGTCAAAGCCTTAAGTGAAGAAGCTGAAGCTCAGGTAATAGAAGGAGCAACTCCAAGCGCTGCCTTTTGTCAAGGGCAAAACGAAGACAAAAAAAAAAAAAAAACAATTCCCTGATTTTTTTTTTTTCAGGTTGTTCCAGCGGGTTCCCAGGCCAGCCCGGACGGTGATGGCTCTGGCCCCGAAAAAGATGCAAGCAACGTAAGCTCAGACGCTCAAACTTACCGCTCGAAGGAGCAGCTGATGCTGCGGGCCAACAGTCTGAAAAAGGCACTGAGGCAGATCATCGAACAGGCTGAGAAAGGTGAAAGAGGAGCGTGGTTTGTTTGGGGTCTCGGGGGCGGGGGAGGGGCGGCCCGCTCACTCGTGTCATTTTTTTTTTTTTTCTTTTGCAGTGGTGGATGAGCAGAACCGACACACTCAGGTCCACAGGATGTGGTCGTCTTCTTCCATCAAGCGGGAAAACAGCGAGGAACTCAAGGACGCGGACATGCGTACGTGCAAAGCCAAATCTTTTTGTCCGCCAATGACCGTCTTGTGATTGGCGGCGACCTGCTGAAGAGGAAACCGAGGGAAGAGACTTGACCTGAAACAAACAAGAACTGAGAGAGGCCACAGAAGAGGCCTGGAAAAGTGTTTCAAATCAAGTCAATGATGAATGGTCAATGAGTCGCAGGCTTAATGCGGTTGTATGCTTCCTTTTTGGCTTTTGCTCACTTGAAAAGTGGAGCGTGCGCTGTCCTGGATTGTTTCACACATCAAGATGCATAGCTGTCAACTTTTCGGAGCGCCAACCTGTATAAACTACCAAAAAAATCCTTATAAAGAGCAAAAATCCTTATAACATACCAAAGCATTTTAAATGTCAAAATAACGGCAGAAAAAACCCACGAAATATGAATGATGTATTTGTTTCCTTGTAGAACTTGCTTGTACACTACCGAAGTATGCAATGAATACTCTGCTGTTTTCAACTAGGAACCACGTGATTTACTGGAAAGTTACCGGAAATGAAAGCATTCGAGTAGACTAGCACCATTCTGGGCAAAAGCAAACGGAACTACCTGTTAGGGGGGGAGGGGGGGGGCTGTTTGGGGAACGGAAATTTTCAGAATCCGTATGATTTGTGCGATATGGCCATATACGTAAGATTCACCACAAAATCCGTATGAACTATGGCTAAACCGTATGAGTTGACAGGTATGAGATGTAAATCCTGTGCAATCAAAGCCGGAATCCTGAACTTTTTGTGTGATATTCACCTTTGGATCTGTAACCCGAACGTCTTCAGGAGACAAGAAAAAACAAAACAAGTGTCCTTGCCATTTACAATACTTCTGGAGGGGGACTCTCATATATTTAGGAAAAAAAATCAAACTCTCAATTCACTGTACAGGGTCTTCAAAATTGCTCATGTGACTGTTTTACTTTTCCACGTAAAAGTAGAGTGTGGGTTTTTTTCTCTTACCCAAGCTTCTTCCTCTGTCCAGGCATCAGAAGTCTCAGTCCGTCTTCGCCCATCGTCCTGGAGAAACCGGCGAGCCTCCACACGGTCAACTTCAACGAGGACTCAGTGTAAGCGCTCATCCGCTCGTAATCCGCTCGCCGCTGCCGCGGCCGCCGCGCTCGTTTTCTCCTCACGGTAGCATCGCCCCGTTTCCGCGCAGGCAATGCTGGGAGAAATGCGTGATGAACAATTACTTCGGCATCGGCCTGGACGCCAAGATCTCGCTGGAGTTCAACAACAAGCGCGATGAGCATCCGAAAAAGTGCAGGTAAGCAAAGAAGCCCGTCTCTGTTATCATGTTACAGGGTGCATGAAAGGGTTAAATTAGTTTAGCTTCCAAAAAGTTAAAATGTTAGATTATTAAAACTTCAAAATAGTTTAGTTGTGTTTTTGTGCTTTTTTTTTTTTTTTTTTTTTGTAGCTGTATGTAGAGCAAGTCACTAAAGGCATAATTTGTAATAAATTAATGTTAGAAAATGACATTGCAGCAGGTTTTTTTCTATTAAAAAATCAATTTAGCTTTGCTTCTAGACAAGAAAAAGTTTGCAATGAAACATAATGCGAAGTTAAGAAGTGAAAGCTGCTGATTCTGTGAGGAAAAAAAAAAAAGCAATTGTTGATTCATTATTTTTATTGCGTTCATTAAAAGCCTTGCTTCGGTTCCCCGGGATTCACCTGTGGGGACCGAAAAAAAATTGCTCCGCAAGGTTAGAAAATTGCTCCCCGAATGAAGCCATTGATTTGCGAGCCTGCCCTGCGTAGAAAATCACACGAATAATAATTTCGAGCCGTGCCAGAAATGGGACATTGGAAGCAAAATTGTTTGCACCGAAACGGTTACGGTCCATTCCCGTTTTCAAGCAGGAAATGCGGATTGTGTTCGTGTGTTTTTTATTTTGTTTTTTTTTTATTATTCGATGAGGGCAAAATAACATCAGCAACCCAGAGCGCAAAAGAAAAAGTCGTCGTCGTAAAGACTCCACACAAATGCTCGCCGATGATGAACGTATTTGTTGATTGATGTCCCGCAGCAGTCGTACGAAGAACATGATGTGGTACGGAGTTCTGGGCACCAAAGAGCTGGTCCAGAAGACCTACAAAAACTTGGAACAGAGGGTCCAGCTCGAGGTACGCCATTTCCAGGACGATTCTTAGCTTTACAAGAAAGCCAAAATTCTGGTTCTGTTTCACACACACACACTCACACAATCTTCTCCGTTTAGTGCGACGGCGTCGCCGTTCCGCTACCAATCCTCCAGGGCCTGGCGGTGCTCAACATTCCCAGCTACGCGGGTGGCATCAACTTCTGGGGGGGCACCAAGGAGGACAACGTGAGCGCCTCTGGGAGTAGGACGATCGAAAACGGGAGGGCCGTCCGTCTTTGTTCATTCACCCTTTGGCTTTTTTTTCCCCTTCGTATCGCAGAACTTCGGCGCTCCGTCTTTTGACGACAAGAAACTGGAAGTGGTGGCCGTGTTTGGCAGCATGCAGATGGCGATGTCCAGAGTCATCAACTTGCAGCACCACCGGATTGCGCAGGTGACACGCACACACACGCCGCAATACACCGCAATTTCAGACCAAGTCTGAAAAGACGTTTAAAAACGTCTTTGGGAGTGAATGAGTTAAGACGCACCTTTTTATACATGCGTAAATTCCCGATTTGAGATGTTGATTTTTTCTGACGTCCATGCGTAAATTCCCGATTTGAGATGTTGATTTTTTTTCTGACGTCTTGTCTTATTTTGCGCTCAGTGCCGCCAGGTGAAGATCACCATTTTGGGGGAGGAGGGCGTCCCCGTGCAAGTGGACGGCGAGGCTTGGATCCAGCCACCGGGCATCGTCAAGATACTCCACAAGAATCGAGCGCAGATGCTCACCAGGGACAGGGTAGGTTGAGACGACACACACGTTGATGATGCCGTTTTTTTTTGGAGGGGGGTGAAAGCTCTCGGGTTAGGACGATTGCAATTTCTGAGTTCTCCTCACCTAACTGAGGTCATCTCTGTCCCAGCCGAACCACCCCCTCACATGTCCTTTTGAAATATCCTCACGGTCTATTGCTGTCCGTCGGCGCCCCGCCTCCCACACCCCAACCGGCGTGCGGCCAGGCGTTCGAGAGCACGCTCAAGTCGTGGGAGGATAAATTAAAAGTCGACAGCGACCGTGCCAACAGACCCCGCCTCAACTCGCAGCAGTCCATGGAGTACCTGACGGAGGAGGAGTGCGCCCAGGTGCAGCAGCTGGGCATCATGGCCGACACGCTCATCAGCAAGTCAGTCAACCGCCCTTCCGCCCCACCCGCGGGGAGATTAGCGGTCTCGTCTCATGACACCCAGTGGGAAAAATCTTCATCCGCTCTCGCTCTTCGTCCCCCGCAGGATCCGCGAGACCGCCAAGACCCACAAGCTGGTGGAGCAGGAGCTGGCGCACGCCGTCAACGCCAGCGCCATGGTGCTGACTGAGGCCAAGCTGTCCAGCCCCGAGGTAGGCGTGCCAGGCGGAGGCAGATGGGTCCAGACGGGGTCGACAGATGGCCCCGTTGGACCCACGCGATGCACGTTTGTACATGAGATGTGCGGGGACGCCGTCGGGTGGCAAGTCTTAACCGTCCCGCGCTCATTCCGAGTCACATCGCGGCGCGCCGTGTGCATTTCGTACCATATTCGAATGCACATGGGTGTCATGGCTGTAAATGTTTCAGTTTTTGAGAACTAAAACAAATAATTATTTTTTTTTTTTATTTTTGCAGTTTCTGAGTCGCAGTACAGCCGTGGAAATCGTCAACAGCAGCAAAGTTCTGCAAGCGGAGACGACCATGCTTCTGGACGGACAACATCTGGTAAGCTCTCTGGCCGCACGCTGCCGCCACCTTTCGCCACCCGGTCGATGACGCACCCCCGCGTCTCCGTCTGCTCCTCCTCAGTCCGATTCCCCGGAGGAGGCGGAGCTGCGCTTAACCCTGAACAGCCTGAGCGCGGAGCTCCACAAGCTGGTCGACATCCACTGGATCTGCCCGCTGATGCATTGCGCCGAGGGGGTAAAAAAGGGCCGCGAAGCATTTTGGCGCGGGCGCGCGGGCGCTCTGATGACACGGATGATCGCGTGTGCGTGCAGGAGTCGGCGCGTCCCAGCGGTAAAAGCAGCATCAAGCTGAAGATCATGCCCAAGGCGAAGAGGGAGAAGGAGAAGCTCTACAAGCAGAAGTCCAACAGCTCACTCTCAGGTTGGAACAGCCGACGCAAGACACCCAAACTCATCTGTCAGGCAATTTGGGGAAGCCTCAAAGCGTTGCCGATATTCAATTGTCAGCAATTGTTGCAGTCGCTGAAGTTGGACTGCTTTGAGCATGTTACTTTGCTTCCCTCTAGTGGCCGGGTGAGGTACAACGTGCGGCTGCATCACAAGCTGCTTTGAGAGGCCAGCGTTTTATCGGCCGCTCCCGATGGAATGTCAGCCTGTGGGCATCTGATGTCGATTTCAATATGACATCAAAATCCAATACTCAACATCAAATTGGGGTCACGTGCCCACCGGGGACCCAACAAAATGGCTACGAGCGCTTTGTGCCATTTACGATGGTATTCAAAACAAAGTGGCGTACTGTACGCAGGATTTTTTAAATATCTTCCCAACAGACCCAATCAAAGCGTAGCATTACTGTGTTTGTAAGGGCATACATGATGGATGGGCCAAACATCGCAGATGTGCCGTTTTCTGCTGTTTTAGCCCGCATGTTTATATACCGTTCCTGCAATCTGAGGCAATCATTATGGAATCACTAGTCTCGGAGGATGCTCATTCCATTTAATTTTGTAGGGGTGGGGGGTGCAAACATGATTTCAAATGGCAACTTTCTGCCTTTAAGAAACTCTCAAACAGGGGTGTCAAACTTATTTTTGTCGTGGGCCACTTTGGGGTTACGTCTTCCCTTGGAGGGCCATTACGGCAGTGAAACTAAATAAATGTTTATATATTATTACCTGTACACAACAAAGTGATGGATTACCAGTTTGGAGATCAGTCAAATCAACTATAATAGTTTGTTCAATTATTGTTTGAGTGAGCGTTAAAAGGATAACCAAAATTATTGCAAAAATCTCAACGTTATTTATCACACATGACAATTTGATGTTTTTGTTCAGATTTTTGCAAGTTGACGCACATGATTTGCTTTCGCGGGCCACATCAAATGATGTGGCGGGTCGGATCTGGCCCCCGGGGCCTTGAGTTTGACACCTGTGCTCGAAAAGAAGTGAAGTAGAACAAAATGTGGTGGTCACTAACAGTTACAAAAAAACAAAAAAAATTTCAACACCAGATGTCAACATTGCCAGATCATTCTCCAAATTTTTAGACACAGCTGATTCTTGCCACGTTCCGTGATGATTCCCCTTCTTGACAAAGTTTGACAATCCTCTCATTTGTTTCAGTCGACGTCTCTCGTGCTGGAGCCACGATTCATGTCAGTCCACCTGTTGCAGCAGATCTCCAAGGTGTGATCACGCCCGTTGACTCGGACTAACGGGCAGCTCGCACGAATGCGGATGTTAGATTGAGCGATTCCACATTTTCTTCCCTCTGCTTTGGCGTGAAAAAAATGTAACTGTTACTAAGGTCATGTTCCTGTTCTTGTGTGCGTTTCCAGCAGGTGGCAGTGGAGGGCTTTTCCTCCAGCGTGCACACCCGCTGCCAATTTGATCATCAAGTTAAGACATGTATTTAAGGATTTACCAAGCGTCAAGTGGGCGTCGGATTATTGAGCTGCCAACTTCTGAAGACACACAAGAAAAGCAACATGACAACTAACACCTGATTTCTCGGTTTCTTTTTGCGTTTCTTAAAGCCAAAAAGTTTCCATTTGAAATGACCTTAGTTTTGCGTTCATGTCTGCGACCTGCTTTATTTCTAAAAATTGAAACACCTCAATTAACATCCTCTAAGAGCTGTGATTCCATTATTTTTTTTTTTTTGCCAGTGGTTTGTGGGATACATTTTTGGTTGTGCAGGAGCGATCATCCATTTGGAGGTTCTAATTGTTTGTCATCGCTCTGCTTTAGGAACATCGGACGTCAAATGCGCAACTCCTGAAGCAGAATCTTCGGGCAACTGATGATCTTTTCCGGCCTCTCACCTTGACCACCGCGGGTGGCGAGACGCCTTCCTCCCGCCCGCCGACGCCCGCTGGCCTGACCGAGAGCCACCGATGAGTGATGAGCACTCCGTCTTGCGTTTCCCTGCTGTACATTTGATTTCGAAAGGGTCTGCTAGTCTCGTGGTATCGAAAGCGTACAACGAATGTCTTTTTATATTTTATTTTGTCAGAAACAAAGTGTTTCTGTCGCTTGCATGCCGAGTGCAGCCATCTTTTTCCGGACCCGCTGAGAACGGAAGCGCCCTCAGATTTAAGTAAAGACTTTTGGGCACGACTTCCATGATAACCGGATCTGATGTGCGGAAAAATCGTACATGTTGCGGGTGAAGAGAAAAAGAAAAAAAAAAAAAGATGGTGAATGTATTTTGTGTGCTGAGCTGTGAACATTACTACTGATAAGAATCCTAATAGTGATAACGTGCACATTCGAGGTTCATTCAAGTGGTTCTTAGTTTGTTTTGCTTGTCGTGGCCTCAGCAGGTACTCAAGAGGTCAACGGGTTGACTAACAAACAGCTGATTGTAGATGTAACGCGCCTAACGTGAGCCTTTTGCTTTGCCAGTGGTTCCCAGATTCTCTTGTGGCTTTTGCTGCCTTCATGAGCGGGAGAGGAGAAATCATGAGGCCAAACAGTCAAACTAAACTTGCCTGAAGCGTGTTTAAGATAAGTAGATGCTTGTTGTTGAGGGGTGAACAAAACAAAACAAAAAAATCATACTGCGTGGTATTAATTTCTTATCAGGAACATGCTCGTTTCCACTCACGCTCGAGCGTTCCTTCGCTCGCTCTGCTGTGGTCGGATGCTGCGAATGCATCCATAAGTATGCTGCCGCCTTTGCGCCTTTCCAGGCTTTTGTGGTGTTGTGCCAAGTCGAGGGACGCCCTCCTGGCAATTGGGGGGGCGGGTTGCGCGCGTGTATGCATGCGCGTAACGTGGCGTTCATTTCAAGTTTACTGTGTCTTGCCTTGCACTTTACAGACTACTTCATGGGGGAGGGACGTCAAATGCGCAACTCCTGAAGCAGAATCTTCGGGCAACTGATGATCTTTTCCGGCCTCTCACCTTGACCACCGCGGGTGGCGAGACGCCTTCCTCCCGCCCGCCGACGCCCGCTGGCCTGACCGAGAGCCACCGATGAGTGATGAGCACTCCGTCTTGCGTTTCCCTGCTGTACATTTGATTTCGAAAGGGTCTGCTAGTCTCGTGGTATCGAAAGCGTACAACGAATGTCTTTTTATATTTTATTTTGTCAGAAACAAAGTGTTTCTGTCGCTTGCATGCCGAGTGCAGCCATCTTTTTCCGGACCCGCTGAGAACGGAAGCGCCCTCAGATTTAAGTAAAGACTTTTGGGCACGACTTCCATGATAACCGGATCTGATGTGCGGAAAAATCGTACATGTTGCGGGTGAAGAGAAAAAAAAAAAAAAAAAAAGATGGTGAATGTATTTTGTGTGCTGAGCTGTGAACATTACTACTGATAAGAATCCTAATAGTGATAACGTGCACATTCGAGGTTCATTCAAGTGGTTCTTAGTTTGTTTTGCTTGTCGTGGCCTCAGCAGGTACTCAAGAGGTCAACGGGTTGACTAACAAACAGCTGATTGTAGATGTAACGCGCCTAACGTGAGCCTTTTGCTTTGCCAGTGGTTCCCAGATTCTCTTGTGGCTTTTGCTGCCTTCATGAGCGGGAGAGGAGAAATCATGAGGCCAAACAGTCAAACTAAACTTGCCTGAAGCGTGTTTAAGATAAGTAGATGCTTGTTGTTGAGGGGTGAACAAAACAAAACAAAAAAATCATACTGCGTGGTATTAATTTCTTATCAGGAACATGCTCGTTTCCACTCACGCTCGAGCGTTCCTTCGCTCGCTCTGCTGTGGTCGGATGCTGCGAATGCATCCATAAGTATGCTGCCGCCTTTGCGCCTTTCCAGGCTTTTGTGGTGTTGTGCCAAGTCGAGGGACGCCCTCCTGGCAATTGGGGGGGCGGGTTGCGCGCGTGTATGCATGCGCGTAACGTGGCGTTCATTTCAAGTTTACTGTGTCTTGCCTTGCACTTTACAGACTACTTCATGGGGGAGGGGGGGGGCAGTATGCGAATGCATGCGTGTTTACATCCGTGTGTCAAACTAGGTGAAGAATATAAAAATTTATTTATAAAAGATGTGAGACGAACACACACGCGCACGCGTGCCCGTTGATGACGTGTGATGCGTGTCGTTCCTCCCGCTGCTCCTTCGTCCGCTGTTGCACCGGTCCGACATGTAAACGACGGTTAACCATGTTCACCAGATGAAGTTTGAAGCCAAAGCTTGATTCATTAAGCTGTTTTGTGTACAAGACCGTGTAACTTTTTTGAAATGGTATCATCGACTTGTTTTGAATATATGATTGCAACGTGTGTTTTGGTCTTTAAACGAAAGCTTATGCATATTTAATTTTGATAAATGATTGTTTTCATGTCATTTAATGGGGGTTGCAGATGATCCCGCAATGTGCGCGCGTGCGCGCGGCTGCCAGTTCTGTCTGCTCTGTAGTGCGCGACGGCGTGTAACAAAAAAGACAAGCTTCAGAGATTAAACTGATTTAATGGTGTGTGTGGAAAAAAAAAACATTGGTGCGTCTGCTTCTTCTTGCAATGTGCCTGACTGAAAATATCTTATTAATCTGTTCCGTTTGTCTAAAGATGGTTGCCGCACCTCTTCCATGTGTCCCCGGCACCAACAAATGTCATGTCATTTTCCCAATTGAATTATTACTTGAGCTGTTTAGAATAAGGAGCTACAAATGAGTTATTTCATATACTGGTTAAGCCGCTTTCCCTAAGACAACACTGCCCCCTACTGGAGCCTTGGATGATAGGCCTGAGTCAAACGTCTCATGCGTGTTTTGTGAGTCATCTGTGAATCCTTCAGGTAAGTGATTGCTGCTGCTCACCAATGACGTGGTTCGTTTAGCGGGGCTGAAATCCCCCTAAAATCTTCTTAAAACTCCCCTTTTCAACAAGAGTACCAAAAAGTACAACATAAAGGGGCCACCAAATCATCCGTGTAACTTGATTGTGATATTAACTTGGGTCGCGGATCCGGAAGTGACACACTTAAATCGATGGAAGAATCTGCACAGCTAAAAAAAAAAAAAACACCACCGCGCCCTTTCCGACGTAAGCACACAGAATATTCCCCTTAAATACTGTAGTAGTTTTCCCTTTTCGTCTGGCCGGCCTTTGCTGTGCGTCGTCATCCAGTCCTCTTGAGAGTGTTTCTAAAAGTCCAGTCCATGAGTTTGTTTTTGATCTTGCTACGGGCATCCTTCACTTCATGGTGAAAGTCCTTGTGTCGTTATCAAATCCGTTCCACTTGATTTAATAGAGAACGCCCTTATACCTGGTCCATTATTATTAACAGTCCTTATTTCTCAGCGACCTTGCTTGCACTGGTCCCTTCCACGATCGCTTGCGTGAGAAGATGGGAAATTCAAAGCATTCAAGAGATGAAAAAAAACAGGTGTATGGACAAAAGGCTTTTCAACAAAGTCTTCATCACTGCTGATAGTAGCATTTAGTTAAACGTCCTGCTCTACTACCAACCAGCTTGTTAATTAGTCTGAAACGCATTTAGAATCTTCTGGCTGTTTCCATGAAGAGAGCTGCAGAGTGAATTTTATGCAAACTTGACATGCGGGCAACTGGCACAAAGGTTCCGCAACACACTCCCCCCAAAAAATGAGGCACTTGGATTTCGGAAAAACAACAACAAAAAAGTACAAACGAAAACACTTGCTGGCATATTATGATAATCAAAAAACGCCAGGTTCCTTGTGCATTCAAAAACCAATAAGGTCCTTAAACATTCGTCAGACAGAAAAGACCAGACAAATGTATCGAAATATATTATTTTCTCTCCCTTCATCTTTATTAGCACATTTGGTATTGGAGTAATCCGAAAGTAATTACAAGTTAGATTACTTTGATATTTTGTTACTTACATTATGTGACCAACTAATTTTTTTTAACAGGTGTTAAACCAGTAACTATTGGAATACATTTTGAAAGTAATCCTCCCAACCCTGATGGTGGAGGACTTAATTTTGGTTTGGGGCTGCTTTGCTTTCTCTGGGCCTGGACACATTGGAAAAAGGAAAAGTTTGAGACATTTGAGAATTTGAGAGCATCCATTTGCCAAATGAAGCTGGACAGAAGACAGCCGAAGCAAAGGGGGAACCATGGATGAACATGTCAACGGTTGTGACATCCCAACATGTTTGAGGAGCACTTTATGCAAAAATTCAAGCAATTACAAATGCATTTTTTTCTCTTTTTTTTTTTTTTTTTTTTTGCAAGTGTTTCTGTGGTCGAGCATTTGAGAGCTTCAGTTCCTGAGCGGGTGACGGACGAAAAGTTTGCATTTGAAGGAGTGTCTGCCAAGTGCCTTCCTGTTCAGGCGTACGGGAGAAAGGAGTGTGCATGCATCCTCACTAAGCACGGGTATGAATGTCGACACGTATGCGCGGCCATCCACTACAAACTGGTCCACAAGTTGGAACAAGTTGAATGCTTCCAAAGTGGTTTCTGCGATGATGTGAGTTTATCTACGTGTGTGCGCAGACATGTACAGTAAGGGCGTTCGTGTGCACTGTCTTTTTAAGCAACGATTGTATTTCAAGTCGTACTTCCTGCCCCCAAATTGGTCTTTGCAGTTGGGAAGATGGGGGCAGGGGGGTGGTGGGGGCGTGTCTATGAGCATCTGCCAGTCTTCCGGCAACCAACCAGACACTCACGCCATGGAAAGCTCCACCCCACTGTCGCACACGCCACTGTCCAAACGCCCGTCCTGTCGTCCGACGTCCACCTTGAGGTCCTCCAGCTGAGCGCACACCACGCCGTCACTGTCGCTGCCATCGCCGCCTACAGGTGGTGGCAGGAAGTGTCATTTCATGGTTGCAAAAAGCCGGAAAATTGGATGAGGGCGGTTGCCATGGAAATGCTTAAGATTGAGCCACAAAGGCTTTCGCTCACCCGTCTTCTGGTCGCACAGCGCCTCCTCCAGGATGCTCAGCGCTCTGCATGAGCCAACTGATTTGAGAGCAGCTCCAAGCTCTCGCACCGTACCGCCAGACACCTGAAACGCATGCGTGCGCCCGAATACTCCATAATCATGAAGACATGCTTGATGTGTACTTAACATGTATTAAAATATATAGACAGGAACCGGGCCAAATCATGAATAGCGAAAGTTCAGTTCTTGCCTGGATCATTTAAGTCATCTTTTGTTTGCAAATGTTCTTTGCGGCACCACGGTTACCTCATAGGAGTCTATGAGCGTCTTGGCGGGGTCCGAGCTCAGTCTGAACGCGGTCTTGAGGATTCCCAGACCGAGAGCATCAGCCAGGTTTTCCCAGCACGCGTCGTTCGCCACAGCGCCGCTGAGCGTCGTCTTCACCGAGGTTGCCAGGCTCTGAAGGTCGCCTGGGTCACAATAATGGGGGGGAAACACAATACATGTATTCAGCCTTCATCTTTGTGTTGTTTTTTATTTATTTATTTTTTTAAACAATTGCACCCAACTGCAGCCAATTATATAACAACCAGACTTTGACAGATTAATTTTACAAAGAAGCCTTTTGACAGTACCGGACACTCTTTTCTGTCAGTTGGTTCCGGGTCAATTAAATCGAAGTCCTGCTGTATTTGTGTGTGTGTGTTCGGAGTGAGTGATTAGGGATGGGTACCTTTCATACTGTATTTCGGTTCAAATTTTCAATACTGGTACACAACGATAGCAATTTAACTGATTTACAGTGGAGTATACACTTATGTTTACGCCACACCTGTGTGACAGATGTATGGTATTGTCATGGTGATCGCTTACAAGACAGCAAGTCAAAGGATTGAGTATGTAGTAATTGTCGTAGATGAACAGTTTTCCATCTTAACCCTTTCATGCACCCTGTAACCTGATAACATGACAAGCTGTCCACCGGAGGAACCGCTGTCCCTGAAAGAGTTAATGAAGGCTTCATTTGCCTTCACCTTAGCATCCTATGATGCATAATAAAGCGGATACCGTTTGTTGTCCAAAGGATTGCAATGTTTGTTGCAAAAGCACCTGAAAAAGAATCATCGCAATCACAATTTTCACGAATAATAAATCATTCAAATAAAACTGCAATGAGATTATTTTCCAAAATCGTTCAGCCCTAATTTGTGAGTGTGCGGGTGTACACGAGCGTGCGTGCGTAACATCGCTCCACAAACTCACCCTGAGGTGGGAGAGCCACACTGGGACATTTGGGATGGTACTCATGACCACTGAGAAGCTCCAACACCTGCCAACACACAAAAGCGTCATCGTCTTGCCTCTTCCCTCTCAAGACATCATTTTACTTCTCCAGTATTCATTGCTTGTGTTTCAGCTCAAATCTAAGATAGATGGATCCGCTGGAATCTGCTAGTTGCAAACGTTTCATTCCTGACATTGTTGACATTGCTCTTGTTGGGGAAATTTCTGATGAAAGTGAGTATTTTCCAAATGGGCATGAGCTGCGTACCTGCTCGGAGGCGGCCATGTTGATGGGGCTGGTCCCGGGAACGCAGCCCTCATCATCATCTTCGTCATCATCATCTTCATCCTTGTAGAAGAGCGGCTCGAGGTTCTCCTTGTGAGGGTCTGCGCCTGAACACGCACGCAAAAGTGTCACACCGAGCCGGATGATCGGTATGCTTGACTGTGAGCGTGCGGACGCGTAGGGGTACCCGCTGCCATGAGTAGCGCCGTTAGCTTGACGGAGCCTCGCCCGGCAGCCACGTGCAGGGGCGTGGTGCCGTCGTAGGTGCAGCAGTCCACCTTTGCATTGCCCTGGTGACCACAAGGGTGCGGGGTGATGACATTGTCACAAAGCGTAGGTTGTAATGACATCATCAGAGGGCATGCGTCGCGACGACGAGATGAGCGCGCCGTCACCTCGAGCAGCAGGCAGCCGGCGAGCGATACGTTGTCAGCCTCGGTGGCGAGGTGGAGGGCGGTCTTTCCGCTGCCCCGCTCCTGAGCCTCCACGTCGGCCCCGCCCTCCAGGAGCTCCCGCAGCGACCGCAGCTGATTGGACGCCACGGCCAAGTGGATGGCGCACAAACCTGCTGGCGACAACCAAAACACTCAACCAACAGCGTATGTATGTGTGCAGTCAGTGCTTGTGTGTGCACGGGTGCGTACCGGCGGTGTTGCAGTCGTCGACGCTTCGTCTGACGGCGTGCTGACGCAACAGCAAGCGCAGCATGGAACCCCCCTGCCGCGCGGCCAAGTGCAGTGGCGCGTCGCCGTGGCGATCACTCAGCGTGGGGTCGGCCCCGGCCGCCAGCAGCGCCTGCGCCGCCGCCGGCTGCTGCGTCGTCACCGCCAGGTGGAGAGGGGTCTGATCAAAGTGAGATGGGGCGGAGCCCACGCCCACACATGATGACCTTGTATGCGATGGATCTTAACATGGCATGTTTCACCCGACACTGGCAACCAGTCCGTTGTTTGCCTACATGTGCCCTGACACAGGTTGGCGGCCATGGCTATCAAACATTTTCATTCAGTAAAAAAAAAAAAAAAAAAAAAAAAAAAAAAAAAAAAAAAAAAACCCCACAACGCCAC